TAGTGGTTGTGTGTGTGTGTGTGTGTGTGTGTGTGTGTGTGTGTGTGTGTGTGTGTGTGTGTGTGTGTGTGTGTGTGTGTGTGTCGCGTGTTTATAGCTGTGTGAGCTTTGCGTGGGTGCTGGCGCCGGCCGTTCATTCTATGCGCATCGTGAACTTTATAGATTCCCGGAGCCGAACGGTTCCTACGTAAATCCTGTGGTTTCTATGTAGATCCTCGTGTCCTCTAAAAATTGCGGCGTCACATTCGATCCTCCTTCGGTTCCATTATCTACCGAGAGGGATTGACAAAAAGATGATTACGGCGGCACGATCGCGCACGGCGCATGACAAGGTCGACAAACTCGATACTCATGATCGTGATAATAACGATGGATTCCCGTCGAAAATTTACGACGTTATTTCGCGTAGCGATTTTTTATTAAGAGACTTACGAGAAACGTCGAGACGAGAATGAAAATTAACAGACTAAAGCTGATAGTCTTCACTCAAAAAAAAAAAGAAATAAATGTTTCGCTGATCCAGCTGGAATTTTAAATGTTACAGTTGAAATGTGTCGTTGTTTGTTGAATCTGCTAAAAAATTATTTGTCATATGTAGAATTTATAGTAAGTAGCAACATTCTATGCAACATTCTATGCTAACATTCTATGTTTATATGCAAGACAAAAAATTTAAGTCTCATAATCAAGTCACTTTAAAAGAAGTGTGACTGGCTATTAACTGATTAAGTGTCATAGACAGACTTTTTTGCTAAATTTGACAAATTGTTCAGATATAAATTCTGTTTCTATCATTTATATTGATTACATGTATATTGAGATGATAAGCTATATGCAATACTTGTCGTCGTAATAATACGCAATGCTTGTTAATCATTTATCCATTTTCATTAATTTTTCTTATCTAGATAATTTTCATTATAAATGTAGGATTATTTTTTTCAATGTTGCATCTTATAACTACATTTGAAAAAATTTTCGACACAACCCGAGAACAACTTTGAGCTTTCATCGCTCTCTGAATGTTCTATGCTTTTTCAGAAACTGGAAATTATCATTTCGGGAAAAATTAAGAAAATTTTGTCTAAGATAATTTGATAATCCTTGCTTTATTTTTTATTTTAATTTTTAATTTAATTTATATATCTTATATATATCTTATATAATTATATCTTATATAATTTTCTTTATGTCGAAATTAATTAAGTAATAAAATGTTCCAAATTCTCTATTCCTAAGTAGAGGCACGGAAGGATATCTTACATGGACCCTCTTGCAGGTCAACGTTCAGAGACGTGGATCTACAAGTCAAACACACTGCAGATCTCCAAATGTGAGTGAATGTCCCGAAAAGAATGACACACCCTCTGTGAGATACGTATGATTGTCGGTTTTTTAATTTTGATCAGATAATTAATTTCTCTATTATATATTAGATAATTTTTCTCTATTATCAGGAATAGGATTTTGCACGAATTTATATCAGTGGGAAGAAATTTCACAAATAAAAAAAAAAGAGCAAATCAATAAAAAAAACTCATTTAATTATTGTTATTGATTAAATATTCATACAAATAAATATATAGGAAAATGAAAACGTAAGCAATTAATAAGATAATATATAAAATGCGCCAAAAAAATCGATACATTCGAATATCTCGTATTAAATAAAGCAATGTTGAAAAAAAAAAATTCAAAAAGTTATAAAAAAAAATAATAAAATTTTAATTTTGTTATTTTACAGTTCTCTTTGTTTATAAAAAATTCTAATTTTTGGTTATTATTTTTTCCTATATCTAATTGTGTAATTTAAAATTGTAAAATTACATTTCTTACTTAATTTCTTTCTTACTTGCTTTTGTATTGTGATTTATATATTATAAATTTTGTCCTTGTTACATTTTAAAAATAGTAATCTAGTATATAAACGGAATTTTTTAACAAATAAGATATATGAAGAATATATACAATTAATGCCACGAAAAGAATAGATTGACTTTCTTTTAGTTTTTTGCTGTGATTGATTTACGTGTTGTATTCCGTTGTGAATTTCTGCGTAATAGGACATCAGTCTAAAATTATATCAGGCAGTCAATTGTGTATTTTGAAAAGATGAAAATTACAAAAATGAGGAAATAATTCACTAGACCATTTGCAATTTCATATGTCGGAAGCTAATTTTGAAAGTAATTTTGAAAGTAAATTTTTCTTTTGTAATTTTTATCTCGTTTCAAAATACAATCGTATCTCAGATTACAAGTTGTCAATTACGATATCTTATTAATGGTTTTATTTTAGCCAATCATAATACTAGACTATATTCCAAAATTCTAGGGTGTGATCCACATGCTGCTATAAATAAGCATTCGAAGCATTTGATTAACTAATCAGAATAAAAAATATTATGAATTGATCGATTTAAAAATGCTTTGAAGCATTTTTTGTATCAGTAGATCGCACTTTTAATCGATCGGTAGAACAAACATAATGCCGGTATTCATAGTTAGTTCTTATGTTAAAGATTATCTTAATATTCGAATTCGAAATGTAATACGGTCATTTCATTGGCTGAACAGGATCTTAAAGGCAATCTGAGATCTGACTTAAGATCTTAAATATAAGAACATACTATAAATACCAGCCCATGAGTATTCTCTTCACATTTGACTATAGTCAATTTCTTGAAGCTTAAGGCAGCGGCACACGATGCTTTTTTATCTGCTGGTTTGCTAGCGGAATTTGCGTGTTTGCTGAGCTCTTGTCTTTGATTGGTATATTCTTTTAGATCTAAAAAAATATACCAATCGAAGACAAGAATTCAGCAAGCATGCAAATCCATCTAGCAGGAAAAAAAGCATCGTATGCTGCTGGCTTTAAATCAGCTATTGTGAATCGGATCTAAGTCTAGCTTCAGCCCCCAAATACCCGCAGATGGCATATCGATCGAGGAAAAAACCGCCATCTCGGATACTGTGAGTCGAACTTCTCCCTTTGCCGTCTATTGTCGTCGTCACAACCAAAAAGAGAGGAGGGACGCACCTGTATATGCGTAAATCAAGGAGATTGGGGATCAACGCGGACACAATCGTGCGAAGAGGGAGGAAATTCTCGTGGCGAAGAAGAAGGGGCAACGAAGGAGAAAATTAGAGAAAACTACGAATTCATTTGACTTCACTTGGGGCGAGAGACAAATTGTGGTGGACGCTTTCTCCAAATCGACCTTTCCGTAGCTGCGATCGAAAAGGTGAGCATTCTTTCCCCTATTCATCTAGATTATTTAACGATGTACGCGAAACAAAGGCGCCGATCGATCGACTGCTTCGAGGATGTGATGATAAAATCAGGTTGACGAAACAACGAAAATAACAAGTAATAAAATGGCGAATCCAAGTCGCACAAAGAGAGCTAGGTTAAGTCGGTATCGTCAACGGTGAGACTCCACTCGAAAATATTTTTTGCTCGAATCATCAAGGGGATAAACTCACTCTCACGTTTAATCGTTCTCACATGTGCCGAAAAACGGAAGTCGATTTCAGATAGATAAATTCTTCAAAATCTCGCCCATTTCAACATTTGTTTACTTAAATGATCTTGTGTTTTCTTTTTTTTATATTTTTCGTTTTTACACTTGAGACTTCGGCCACGTGGAATTTCGGACTATCATCAAATGATTTCGAAATGGTTTTTGTTTTATTTAGATTAAACCCATAATTTCTACCTGATCAACTTCAATCTTGGTTTAACCATATCTTTTTTTCATCTTAAGAATTAAGAATTAAGAAAAAAAGAGTAAACTAATTCGAGATTGCATTTAATCCAAATAGGCAAAAAGGACATTAGAGAAAATCAAATTTATATTCTCAGTTGGAGACAGAATAAAAAATAAGGACTAAAAATATTCTAGAACATTCTACAAATATTCTAGATCGATTCAAGACAATACTTTGATGTATAACCAGATTTGTTTCTATACAGATGCCTAACATAAAACTGCAGAGCTCCGATGGTGAGGTGTTCGAGGTCGATGTCGAGATAGCTAAATGTTCAGTCACCATTAAGACTATGTTGGAAGATCTCGGCATGGATGAAGATGAGGAAGAAGTTGTGCCATTGCCAAATGTTAATTCTGCGATCTTGAGGAAGGTTATACAATGGGCAACTTATCACAAAGATGATCCACCACCTCCAGAAGATGATGAGAATAAGGAGAAGCGCACTGATGATATCAGCTCTTGGGATGCTGATTTCCTGAAGGTGAGTTTTGTTGATCTTGATTAAAAGTAACATCAAATGTAATTAAATTACCAGTAACATGATATTAATGATTATAATAAATATTACTAAATGTAATGATTTATAATAAATATTATATTTTTTATAACATGAATTTAATATGAATTACTTTATGTGATTAGGTTGATCAAGGAACTCTCTTTGAACTGATCCTGGCAGCTAATTATCTCGATATCAAAGGACTTCTAGATGTTACATGCAAAACTGTCGCTAATATGATCAAAGGCAAGACGCCTGAAGAAATTCGTAAGACATTCAACATCAAGAATGATTTCACGGCTTCCGAAGAGGAGCAAGTGCGCAAGGAGAATGAATGGTGTGAAGAAAAATAGATGGAAACGCAATCTCTTATGACCATGGAAATGTTACTTGAATGTTGAATGACCTATTTAACTCATTTGTGTTCTTAGATCTCGAATTTTACCGGCGTCTCGTTAATTTAATCAATTTCTCTCCAATGGTGAATTCCTTTTTTTTTTGAGGAGAGATAAAAATTATAATTGTGGTCAAAATCAAATAACAGTATCCTAATTTGTACCTTCTATTATGTAGGTTCATTGTTATTTATTTCAACTAAATAAAGATAGATAAATAATTGTAAAATATTTCATGGAGTATACGTTTACACTCTACTCCTCAGAAACTAGAATGACACATATATTGCGTATTCTTATTTCGATTTATCCCAAGCAAGCTTCTAGCGCACGATTGTAGGCAGCGCTGATTTTATATAGTGATAATATTATAAATCTGTATTTAAGAGCATATTGTATACATATGGTTTAATGATATTAAATAAATTTAAAAGTGACTTTTATATTTTGTCTTGTAAGTACTTCAAAAATCAACTTGATTTCAAATATAAGTATAAAGAATTATTCGAATTCGAGCAATTTAATTTTATATTTTCATATCTTTTGCATTTATATGCAATTGAACAGTTGATAAGTTGAGAACCTTTGCCTCTTAACCTCGATGTCAAAACATAACCTGCAACGAGGCTTAATTTGGATAAATGCTTAATATTTCCTCGTTTTATTTGTTTCATAAAAAAATTTATTTTATTGCGTATTTATTTTAAAAGTTTATTTTAATGCATATTTAATTATTGGAAATATTTTATTTAAATGTATTAGTGAATATGTTAAATATATATGATGAATCAAGTGAAGCAAGTGAATATCAATTTAATTTATACGTGTTTGCATTAATTTATCTTATTATTTTATTATAATAAAATTAATTTTTAAATGTATCTAGTTCTTACTCATCAAGTTTTTTTATATTGTTTCAGCTAATCGTAACAAAAAGTTAAAGGTACAAAATGATAAAAATAAGCAAACTTTGCATAATTTATGTGATTGGCTTTATCCTGATAAAACAGCTATTGAATATCATGATTTAGAAAACATTAAGATTATAAGCTATAGAGAATTGCGAAAAGCAAAAGAAACAATTTTGAATCATTTGAAATGCATAGGTCATCCTGAATTTATAGGTATCGATTCTGACATTTCAGAATATTGTGTGCCTTCTTTAATGCTTGGGTAAGGCATATTTATTTATATTAACTATATTTAATTAGAATATTTATCATGAATTTTTTTTTGACAGAATTCTTGACAGCGGACATGCTTTCTTTAATATACCTGCAGATTCACTGGTATATGCAGAGATATTTACTTCTTTGAATGTAAAATATATTTTTACAAAATGTGTGACACCTAACAAAGAGATCATATGTAAATTTAATATTTGTGAGCAATCAGTGTATTTAGTGAAATTAATGAACGTCCAAGAAAGTATCATTAATAGAAAATGGTATCATTTTGCATATGCAATTACTACTTCGGGATCAACTGGAGCACCAAAAGTAGTCAAAGTTCCTCATACATGTGTATTGCCTAATATTACAGATTTAAAGAAAATCCTGGATATAACGAATTCTGATAAAATTGCACAACTAACAAATTTTACTTTTGATCCTAGTATCATTGAGATTTTCTTGAGTCTTTATTGTGCTGCAACTTTATTTATGATTTCAAAAGCATTAGTAAACGAGACTGGAAGGTAAATATCAATCAATCCGTGTAATAAATGCCAAAAGAAAGAAAAGATGAGATCTGTAGTATAAAAATACAATTTTTTTTAGACTTTTAGAAGAAATGTTCCATGGTTGTGTAACAGTTCTTCAAATCACTCCATCGCTTCTCTTCCACAAATGGTCCACACAACGTTTAAAAACAACAATCTTAGGCAAAGATTCTAAGTTAAGAATACTTTTGTTGGGTGGAGAACCGTTTCCTAGTATGAAATTGCTTTCGGAAGCTAGTCATCCACAAAATATGACACAATTGTTTAATATCTATGGTATAACCGAAATATCGTGTTGGTCTAGTATTAAAGAAATTATTAAAGACAGTGTAGATGAATCTTGCCTAGGCGAACCTTTATCAGAAACTGTATTTCAAATAAAAAATGAAGACAATGAAGTAATAATTAAGGGCGAAGGCACACTTTATATCGGTTAGTCTTTAATATGAATTTAATATATATGTGAAATATTTTTTGAGAAATTTAATCTTATATTATTTTTAATTATTTTATATTAATCACATTTATATTAATTATTTTTGTATATTAATTATTTTTATACGTTTAAAATAGGAAGTAGTACTAGGATCTGTATTGTTGGGAACGAAACAGAAGAAAATTTGGATAAACTAGTTTTTCGCAATACTGGCGACGTTGTTTCAGTAAGCTCTATTTCCAAATTCATTATTGAGAAAAAAAATTTTATTAATTTGTCCAAAATTTTTAAATGATAGATGAATGATAGATGAAGAAATGATAAATGTGAATCTAATAATATTAATTCTTGTTTCAGATAGACGACCAGCGTAGAATACGCTTCAAAGGAAGACGAAACAATATCGTAAAAAGATTTGGAAACAAGGTGAACTTGCGAGAGCTCGAGAGAGTCGCTACGGAATTGAGTTTCGTACGAAACTGTGCTACGTTCTGGGATGCGAAGAGCCACAAATTATACTTATGTTTGTCTATCACAGACACGAAAAGAGAAATTTCTAAGTTGAAAGATGACATAATGTCGCATTTAAAAATATTACCAGCGATCTATAAACCTGACAAGATAATTATAGTAGAATGCTTTAATTTTACTACTAGTGGAAAGATCTGCCATGCGTCACTAAGACAAATATGCAGGGATTCCGAGACGGAAGTTATTAGTGCTAATGATTTGAGTGCTGACGCGGATGAAATATTTGAAAATTTGTGGAGTAATCATATGAAATCTAAAGACGCTGGTTTTTTAGCATCAGGTGGTACGTCAATAACAGCGCTTCAGATTTCAAGCGCTGCTGCTGAAGTCTTTAATATAGAATTCCCTGAATTAGTTGGCATGTTGCTAAGAGATTGTACATTCGACAAGTGCTTCGATTACATAAAAAGTACTTTAATTAGCCGAAGTTGCGACAAAGCTATCGATCGATCTATCGATGTTTCTCTTCATGATCTTTCTAAGAAGATAGTTAATACAGAAGATTATGTAATGAAACAATCATCTCGAAATAGTTTTCCATTATCTTCGAATGAAAAACATTCTCATCAATGGTACAAATGCAGAGGAAAAACTTACGGTGATGAAAAACACATTAAATCTCGTCTAGAACATATATCAAATATTGAAGTAGTAGCAACTTACAATTTGCAGAAATGCGTTGATGCTTCACCAACTATATATCGTTATTCTCAGTAAGAACAAATAAAATTTTTTGATATTGTTTTATCTATTATCGACATCTAAAAATTGATAATTCGTTAAATATTGAATTAAGGTTATTATAAATGAATTAAATTCAATAGTAAAATCTGAGTATTTTCTGAGTCTTCAATATTATGGATTTAATAGAATTTTAAAAGAAGGAGAATAACAATAAGATAAATATTAGAATAATTGTTCGTGTTGATTCAATAGAGTAACTTTAAAATAAAAATCAATTATTTAGTAAAAAAAAAATTATGTATTAGGAAATATAAAAAATTTGTAAAAATTAATTTTAATATTCACGTATACATTTTTAATAGCCTATTATTGTCTTTATATATGGAATTTAAGTTTATTGCATTTATCAAAATTTAAATAGAAGGAATTTCTCATTGTATATCTTAATTGCATATCGATACTTCAAGAGATACGGATCTAAAATCCAAAATAATGCATACACATATAATGTTGCTTAATTTTTAGATCAGAATTGTATGCAACAGTCGGTTCACATTCCGGAATTATATGTACTATTAATCTACTAAAAACCGATAGTATCCCATACGAAGTAAAACTACCAGACAGGATAGAAGCTTCCATTTTAGTTTTAGCTGATTTTCGCGGAATTGTTGGTAAGTATTGATAATCAAATGCTGATATTTAATAATAAGCGATACAATGAACATTTTTAATTGCAGGCTGTTACGATGGATGTATTTATTGTATCCATTTAAAAACTGGTAATATAATATGGAAGTTTCAAACACAAGATATGGTTAAATGCACGGCGATAATGTGTATGCAAGAAAATAAAATATTTGTGGGCTCTTATGATTTGCATGTATATTGTCTTTCCATAGAGGTAGGCGGCAGTATTGAATGCAATATTTTAAAATTAATCTTAATGTTATCTCATATCTTAATTATTAGTTGAAGCATATAATTAAAATTAAAAATTCGTGCTTTATCTGCGAAATATATCATTCCACAGGATGGTATTCAAATATGGAAAACTAAAGCGAGTCAAGGTGGAATCTGTGCGACCGGCTGCTTGCATCAACAATCGAGTTCGGTTCTTTTCGGAACGTTAGATGGTTCGTGTCTGGCGCTAGAACAATCTTCGGGACGTATTGTATGGAAATGCAAACTGCAGAACCCGATATTTGTTGCGCCTGTGGTTCTTCAGACTGGATACGCTCTATTTTGTTCAGTCGCTGGAGCACTGCATTGCTTCGATATCGAAACCGATTGCCAGGTAAACGCATATTTTTTTCTATTATCGCTCGATATGTTCCATGAATTTTATTATTACAGATGTGGCGATACATGATATACGGCAATGTATTTTCCTATCCAGTAATATGGACTCTTGAATCTACCGGCGATGAGTATATCATTTTGGCTAGCCATAACAAAAATCTGTATTGTCTAGAAACATCACGGGAGATAATCGAAAAAAACGAACCGAAATTGAAGTATACGTTACAATTGCAGTCGTCAATTTTCGCGACCTCTTGGTGCGAAGATGGATATATATTTGTAGCGTGCACAGATGGAATCTTCAAGATATATGATCTTCCGGAAGGCAAATTGTTAGCGACCAAACAACTTCCCGGCGAAACGTTCTCCTCGCCGGTTGTTCATAATGATATTGCTGTCTTAGGATGTAGAGACAATAATCTGTACGTTTTGAAATTTGGATAAATGTAATATAATATATGAAAATTTATACTGGATGCGATTATTATATTAGATTCCTCGCAATCTTCGATCTTTAAGACTGGTCGGAATTGCAAAGGTACATGGTTAATACAATATCGTTTATTCCATTCAGCTCTCGTGTGTTACAAGTTGATGGATAACGACGAAACGTATCCGTTGCAGTTGAGACAAGTGTTCGTTATCTGAGTGTACCCACTTCCCATCGGATTTTCGTATGCAATGTGAAATTGTGTGCGCCCGTCGTAACCCATGCGAGTGCAAGCAAAATGTAAATCTAAGAAAACGATGATTCATCTCTTCTTCTCCGACGATATACATACGCCGTTCGTTAATTGATCGATGTGCTCATGCAAACGTTCGCGCGCTCACTCGTCCTTATCAGATATAGTACGATATAGTAATGACGCCCATGTTTATTATGTAAATGAAATAGTCCGGATCTCAAGCTCACACGAAACAACAATATTTCAACGACTCCATTTTCTCATATTTATATATATATATGTATACATATTTTCTTTTTGTAATATATAATATATTTATATACTATATATAGATCTATAATATATCTATAATGAAATGCTTGGCCGCTCCGGATATCCTTCTTCGTTTACTTATACTTCAATATCGATCTTTTCATTTATCTTTTTTCCTTTCGTTTCTTCTTTTTCTTTCATCTGCTCTCGATTTTGTCTATTTTGCAAGCGTGTATGAGCATGCGACTTTTCTATTTCTAATTTTGTTTCTGAACGCACGTTGAAGATACCTGTCTAATCGTGCTGTCGCAACAGTTACGATTCGTTTCCTAAACGAATATTACTTTAACGGGAAAAACGGATTTGGAAGATGAAACATAATTACAATTATATACGCGAGTACACATCGAATAATGCATTTTACATCTCTGCTATGCCTAATTTTGCTACACAGACAATAAGCAAAGGAAAAGTCAATGGAATATTTTTGCCCGCCATTTGGCGATTCGTATAAAATTATATCATTGCTCGATTACTTTGTTCGAAATAATAAATGCAACTTAGACAATCTAAAAAAAAAAGTTTAAATACAGATAAACTTTATCCAGATTCACAATAACCTCTTCAGAAATTCTTCAGAAATATCTCGTCTATATCTATAGGAATTAGCGGTGCTAATCTAAACAGAGATATGACTTACATTGTATCATTGTCAGTTTAACAATTATATCGTAGCTATTTTATAGCAACATAATGACATTGCTACAGTACCTGCAAACTTTTTCTGTACAATTTTAATCTGCCGATGAACGTTTCTCTTGTATTTTGATACGTTAAAATATGATACATAGATATTGTATATACGCATTGTATGACAAATATCTTGGTTACCTTTATCTTTGCTTTTTTTATTATCATTTTTTGTTCAAACGTATATTGGCAGATTGGATTCACATTTCGTGTAAAATATAAATTTATAAGAGGATGTTACCTTATATAATCCGGTGTTCGAAGTCGTAGAAATAGAGTCCGAAAGTTTTTTCATGTGAATGTGGAGGATTCGTGCGCTTTGGACAGGACTGTGTCGCAGGAACGGCAGGACGAGATTAGGACGAGATTAGGACGAGATAAGATAATAAGACAGAGAGAGATTAGTAGAGAAGGAATTTAGCCAACTTTGCCTTTGTTTCATCCTCTATCAAAGAGAATCTACATAATTAGGCACAGGTCTGCTCGCAGCTTGACTTATTCTGTGGTATCTGCCTTGAGACACTGTCGCATGCCAACGCAGTCAGCAATCGTCGAGCGATGTTTTCCCCCTTTTTTTTTACTCGAATACGTTGACGTTTCGATTTCTCCATGTGATGTATATAATGCATGCACGCATTCTGTGATTACGGTTACTGATCCTCGTCGCCGAGTTCATGCTTGACCTTATTGAAGTCGAACTCCTCACCGGTGGCGCGCTTGAATATATCGAGCACATCTAAGCAGGTGGTTTCAAAATGAGTAGTGGCATCATAGCTAGTGGATATGAATATCTGACTGTTGAGACCATCGTCCACTGGAACCATATAATCGGAGATGCTGACAAATTTCTGCCTAATCGGACCGAGTAAGTCTAAACCGGGTTTAATCTCGGTTTCCGGATTCTTCGTTTCCACTGTGGTCGAGACCATGGCGATGAACCAGCCTTTTGCCGCAACTTGATGAGTATGTGATACGAGAGATACATATATATCAGAATTGCGACCGACCTAAAAACAAAGTTGTTTAATTTAAATTATACAAGAAAAAGCCTACAAATATTACAATGACACATTCACATTTATGTTAATAATGTCCATTTAATATAGATTAATTTTAATCTTAATTTTTTTAAGTTACTTTGTTTTATTTTTTTCAGTTCTCATAATTGAAGAAAGATAAAAATAAATTGAAGTACACGTTGAAAAAATTAAAATTAGTATTATTAAATTTAAATAAAATTGTTATTAAATTTATTATTATTAATGTACACATTGATAAAAACGAACATAGATAACTTGAATAAACTAAATGAAAAAGTTTCGTGTTAAGTCTTACAATTGAGAAAAGTTTTTATAATATGCAATTTAGGAAGAAAGAGATTGAAAGAATTTGAATCATCAGAGTTCGAAAATTACACACATGAGATAAAATCTATTGTCAATTACCTGCTTTTGAGGAATGATGATTTGTGTAGATAATGCGTCAGCTGTGTTTGGTATAGGATGATCCATGAGACATATGCATCTTATTACTTGACCAACCTTCTTCACGCGATCAGATACGTATGTGGGATCGCAAAAAACTTGTTTGCATTGAGCTACCTCATCGCCGGAACGAACACCGACCACCTGCGAGACAATAATTAATTTCAATGACTTGTCTTAAGTTTAATGGCAGAGATACGATAAACACAGCCACTCACCTTGCCGTCCTTCATGACGATTTCATCAATCGGCTTGTCCAGCATGTACGTGCCACCATAAATGGCGCTAAGTCGCGCGAAACCCTGAGGAAGTTCACCTAGACCGTACATCGGATAGAGATATGGCGATTTTCCATATCGCGCTAAACTATCACTATATAACTTGATCCTTCTGATGGTAGTTATCGCAGTTTGGCTTATGTAGTCATCGTCCCTGATTAAAAACGCAAACATTAATATTCTTTAACAGACGGATATAAATATTTAACAATTTTATATCTCTATAAAAGACATTTTAATTACTTGTTCTACAAAACCAGCCTTCCTTATTATTACCTGTATAATGCTAACGCGTGACCAGTAAAATCCTGCGTGTTTTTGTCCAGGCTAAATTTGCTGTATAGAGCGCTCATGCTGTTATTGAACGGGTCAAAGCCATCCCACGTCTTTGGATCGTCCTCCTGCATATTCTGCACCCACATGAGGAAGCTGCGGAATCGTCGCTTCTCGAATAAGCCCATCAGATCGCTGGATAGGGCCTCTTGCTGATCGATCGGTACCTTCGAGATCTTGCCCGACTTGTATACGTACGAGCCCTCCACCGATTTGAACTCCAAGTAACGTGTCACGCCCGTGTGAATGAGCAGCTTGACGAGAAGACCATTCGCCATCAGGAATTTTGGTATCAAGTCAACGTTCCAGTCTCGACCCCGGCCATAGCTCTCGTCCGGCGATGGGGCCTTGAACTTGCTAAATAGGATAAAAAACATGATAATTAATAGCGAATATCTACACGCAAGCGCGATATTTTTTAATTAATCTACCTAAATTATAAATGTATACTATATTATGTCATTTTGAAAAAAACATTATGGTAAATATAATAAGACTTCATAAAGCAAAATTAAATTACATTTAATTAAAGTAGTTGCTTTTTACAGGGTAATTAGGGACATTAAAATATCTCTTTCTGCTTTTTAATTCCCTTATGGAACTTGTTGCGAGAAAATTTTGACCTACAAAGTCTCAGGAGAAATATGTAAAAAGGTTAAAACTATAAAATATCGACCAGTTCGACGCTTTTCGAGTTTCCATCACCCGTAATTAAAAAGATCTTCAGCCGGACTTCCGTTTCCGTGTTATTTTATCTGAGAATTTTATCTGAGAAACCGCAAGTGAGGATTATCGGCGAACATTATTTTTGCATTCGGTTTCGCCGTGTCGAGGCGTTAATGTTATTTGCGAATATGAATCCGTTGCATACGCTGACAATTCGTTGATAAACGATGATTAAGCGATATCGCGGATTACACGACGCGAATTCAAGGACGTCAATTTATTGACAGTGATAGGTAGATTAGCCGCGTGCGATAATTCATGAGAGAAATCGTGGTGGTCGCTTTTCGTTATTGGCTTCTCCATACCAGTGTGAGTTCGTAGAAGCGTTACAACATAAATACGTTCCGCAGTCATCCGACTACATCCCTCGCCGATTATCCTCCGCCGATATCGATTAATTTTATTTCCGTCCGGATTCATCCCAAGTCTCGTTTAAATTCGTCGTTAAAATTCGTCGATACGCGGAACGAACGTCTCAATCGCTTCTTCTCCCACTTGTTTGGATTCATTAAATCCGCGATTCGCGATTGTAATAAACGGAAAGCCACCGAGGACTCGCGTGTCGCGACGTGCGTTTCTCGCGTTACTTTTTTTTTTTTTTTTTATGCGAGACACGTAATTACACGCAATCTTCGGAACGGCGGTCGTTCCGCTTTCCATCTGCATTCGGCACGAGTCAAGTCCTCCTTCTCTTCCTCTGTCTTCCTTTCCTCGATGGACTTTCATGCTCGCGCGGTTCTGTACAAGAGAACTTAACGGAGTGTCGAGTGTCAGCAAAATAGGATATCCGCTTTTCAGGTGACACCTCGGCAAGATATAGTTATGTATGAAACACAGAGAGAAAAAAATAGATAGATACTGTTACTTGTTAAGCATTCTAGAATTGTATCTTCTCATTGCGCTACAATAGTATACATAATGTACAGAAAATGTAGAATATTGGAAATCAAATTCATGTAATGAATTATGAAAAATTAATATAAATAGAGAAATTGAGAAATAATAGAGAAGAAATAACGAGAGAAAAATAAATATAAAACAAAATTTAACAAAGAATGCAAATAATAAATATAGAAGTAGGGTTTCTATTCAAATCTATAAAAAAACTTTCTGAGAATATCCAGATTTTTTAAATATTTTGTTCAAAATTTAAAACAAAATTGTTAAATATAAATTTAAAATAAGTTTGTTTTTGTGTGCGCGCTTTTTAATATTGTTTGATCAAGGAAAGTCTCTTTATATTTAAATATTAAGGCTTGTCACTCTATTCTATACATATAGAATTTTTTTATAAATATTAAGTTATACATAAATAAACACAATGTACGCATGTATGATTATTAACTTGAACAATCGATGAATTATCAACAGATTTATTTTAAGAGAAATTATTATTAATCATAACATTTTTTTCTAAGAGGAATAAAACAAAATTAAATTTAGAAATAAAATTTCCAAAGATCCATTGAGTCGCAATAAAACTCTGTGAAATTTTCAAGAATAGAAAAAAAATTTCTTGAAATTCAAGTTTTTCCAGAGAGTAAAGATGTCATGAAAAAAAATGTATTACTGAAAGTGTTCGCAAGAGAGGAAAAAAAAGAGAGAGCTAAGAAGCAAAAGACTCTAATTACGAACTTTTGACACTCCATTGCATCTTTTTTACATGAATTATCGTGAAAAAGTGTCGCGAAAGAGTTCGCGGAATAGGAAAAACGGAACAATGTTATCTCGAGCATTATCTTTTTCCTTTGTTATCCATCGCGATGACGTGGCGAAATAAAAAATCCTATCTCATGTTCAGCTGTCTATAGAATGTCATAGAATGATCAGCTTCCACCGCAGAAAACTTCCATAAATAAATAAATAAATAAATAAGAGCTAGCGAACGCGTACTAGAATATTGTTGCTTGCTGAAATATTCAACATTAAATGTTAGAAAGCAATGATAAATAATAGCTTTCGCCACGAAATTAATCCAGGCTTGTTAATGGCCGAGCGATTGGAAGCTGGATACTTGGCGCAACGCGGAAATTACGTCGCCAAGAAAATTGCACGTGAAACCGGAGGAGAGAAACGGAGAAGGACGATGAAGGTAATTGGCACGATGATCTGAAGTTCGTGTTTCCTACGTGATTAGTAATGATAAACAGTAGTATTTTGCATGGAATCGTTGACAATTATGGCAAAATATCTCTGACACGCGCGTGGACACGATATTCTTGTGAAACGTGATCGTTGAAACGTACGTTGAAATCAAAATCGTCGGTTTTGTTGTTGTACACTGTTACTTATCGTGAATTTTTCAGTAGTCGAGGATAATGGGACAAACGTCGAAACAAACAACGCGCTCTCGTGTATCGATGGGAAATGCAAATTGACGAATTATCAACAACTCATAAGAGTAAAATTGTCAAAAATTTTTTGAGGGGCAGAATTTAAATTTAAAGACAAAATTAAGAAAAAGATTGATTTTATTATATATATATATATATATATATAATTATATATGTATTAACTGTATATCGAGAACCAATCTTACATAGAACAATTGAAAATCCGCGGTAGAAAGCGAATATTACGAATATTACTAATATAACTTTAACAATTTATTTCTATTTTAAAATGACAGAGAAAATTAAATAGAAAGAGGAAGTAGAAATAAATGCTCTGATGAGCAAATAAGAAATTTATTGATTAGTAATCTGTATTTTGGTGCGGAAAAGAGAAAAAGAGAGGAATAAAAAGTGCAGCTGAGAAATGTCAGTGCGAAATACCGCAATGAGGCGCGGAGGAATTTAGAATCGGGATGAAGATCGACGGGGATCGCCGATCGCCTTCGACGAAAGATAAGAAGGAAATCTCTTCATCAAGGTGAGTTTAGAATTGAACGCGGGATCAAATTATCGCGTGGCGAGTGTAGAATCGCCGACGATTTCGCGACGTTCGATCGAGCGGTTCTCTCGGAGGGGGCGGACGCTCTCTCTCACCCTCCCTCTCCTTTCTATGCTCGAGTGTAACCGTCGCGAAGGCCGACGGTACCAAACTTTCCGCTGTTCGTTCGACTGGGGTCGGTAGCAACGACCGGAATTCGCAATTAGCGCCGGAGTTGAACGCGCAGCGCTCTGTTGTCAAATCCCGACGTTTATCGCCTCTTCCTCTTCCCTTTTTTTCCCATGTATTTTTCTATTCGTTTTATTTTTATTTCCGGATAGGAGGAAAAATAAGTAAAAAATTCTCCTTAATTTTCTGCGCAGCACTCTCTCTTTACTTTTTGTCTTTCAAACGTTTCCAACGTCAACGTCTAATATCTAATTGCGAGTGCAGAGAGTGCAACGCGGTGCAACGCGCGTAAAAACGGAGAAGTCGATGTCAGAATGAGAATTTATTTCGCGTTCCCATGGGAGGTGTGCGTGCTCGCGAGAAACGATCCCGTTGCGATTTTCAGACGGACGCGCGCGCGTCCCGACGGTCGATTCGATTAATCGCAGAAGGAAAAAGAAATGAGAGTCAAACGTGACTACCGCGTTCGGACGATTCACGCGCGCGGCGGGAATGCGGGCTCGAGAATCGATACCGTCCCCCCCCCCCTCCTCCCGCCCGACCGCCGCGCCGACATGT